GAGAGAGAGAGAGAGAGAGAGAGAGAGAGAGAGAGAGAGAGAGAGAGAGAGAGAGAGAGAGAGAGAGAGAGAGAGAGAGAGAGAGAGAGAGTATCGAAACATGCAGCATGCATGAAACTTGGGAGGACGAGAGGAAATATGAGAGCATTCTCCTTTCCTTCGTATGATTATCGTACGCACTACGCACATCTACTTAGCCACGACAGCATGAGAGCATCTTCCTTCCTTCGACGGCATGAGAGCATCTTCCTTTGTGAGTTCGTATGATTGTCGTATGCACATCTACTTAGCCTCGACATCCATCGATATACATCGGTGGACACAAAGAGTCTGAGTTTCCTGCAATCCCCGCCTTCCGGGAGAGCGAGAAACAAATTTGAAAAAAGAATGAAATAGAAAAGAACTGTGCGTCCCGAGTACCCAACGAGGTGGGAGGAAAAGAGGCGTAGACGGCGGCAGAGTATTGCGGTCGATAACATCCGTTTCTTGTATATGTGCATGCATGCGAGAAAAAGAAACCCCTCCCCGAGCTCGTGCCCTGTTTGGACCGGGTAGTTCCGGCTTGGACCGGGTGGAGCCACGGCCACCAATATCTTGGGTGAAAATATAAAAAAAAACACAGTAAAAAATAAAATGGGAAGATAGTTTCACCGGCGCGCTGACCCACTTGCTCTCCTCGTGGCTGTGACGACAGACGCCAGGTGGGAGGGCTGGCCTACTCAGCCGATCTCCGCGGCTTTGACGACGGAAACGATGCTCGCGCGGCATCGTGGTGCGGCATGCTGTGGTTACCTTCGTCTTGCCTGATGATATGTCCATCGATCCTCAGCTGCTTATCAATGAGCCTCAGCACATGGAAGACTCGGAGAGTAAGGGAATAAGAAGAGAGGGGGGGAGAGAGAGTGTGTGTGTATCCGTGTGTGGACGTGCTTGCATTCATTGAGTCATGGAAGATGTCTGCAGCAAATCTTGAAGACGAGATCGGCAAGTCTCCTTGCGCACCGTATGCGCTTGTCTTGGTCCGGTTACAGTCTTACTGCAGGATGCTGCATCTTCCTCGTCGAGCGTCTCAATGAAACCCCCAGCACACGACAGACACTGAAATTAAGAGAGAGGGCGGAGGGATAGTGTGGACCTGACAGTGGTGCTTTTTGTGGGCAGATACCAAAATGTCGCCCTACGTAAGGCTTCTTGCACGCGGTGCGGGCTTCTGCTGTTTGTTATCATGCTTGCCGGTTCTCCTTCCATTGATTGGTATTGCTGCCATCGTGTTAGGGGTGATGGCGCTACCCGTCGGCACCACCGCCGTCGTTCTTCTCTGTGCATACGAGTTCAAGAGGGAGTGGGACTTGAGCCAAAAGCAGTGGAAGACGGAATCTAATGGGTCCATGTTGGCTGGTGATGAGGAAGGGAAGACACCATTCGAGCGGCTCATCAAACTGTTGCAATCTGACGCTAAGTTCCGGAGCGGGTTCGTTCCAGGAGGAGCGGCGGCGGATGAGCCAGAAGTGTCGCTGAAGGGAGCGCCCGATCTCCCGACTGCTGTCCCACTTCTCTCGCACCCAGAGGCCGACAGTTTGAGTACGGTGGCAGGCGGCCAAATGGTTCCGACGGTAGACGTTGGCGGACGACTCCTCGATGCCGATCAGCAGGCAGAGGAAACGCCGCCGCAGCAGCAGCAGCAGGTACATATCCCGATCCCGATCTCGATTCAGAAGACCCAGCGTCATGCGAAAGAGGGTCCTTCCGACGCGAAGGTCGTCATGCCCGATCGAGAAGCGATGTACTACGGCGCTGGCGATGCACAAGGTCGGCGGCGGCAGGATAGGGAGGTGCTGGGCGGACATGGTACTAGGCCGGAGATCACCGCCGCGGAGCCATTCTCGGACCTAAGGAGAACAAGCGATGAGGTGTCAGTGGAGGAGGTGGCCAGAGACAGGCGCCGTGTGGAAGAAGAAGACAAGGGAGTGGAAGACAAGCACGTACCAGAAGAAGAAGACAAGGGAGTGGAAGACAAGCACGTACCAGGAGAAGAAGACAAGGGAGTCCAAGACAAGCACGTGTACATACAGGACAGAGTTCAAGACAAGCACGTGGCGATTGAGGAGGAAAGAGTTGAAGACAAGCACGTGGAGATGGTGGAGGAGGAGAAGGAGGTGGTTGTGAAGGACGTACCAGAGGAGGAGGTGAAGGTGTTGATGGAGCAGCAGACCGCGTTCGTCGGCATTCCAACAACAAACAGTAGGGCGAAGAAGATGGTGGAAATGCTACAAATTCCGGAGACCGTCGACGAGCCTGTCCTTGCTGTCCCTTCTTCTGCGTTTGTGGGAGAGGAGGTGGGTTCCGCTGAGGAGACCTGGACGGCTACCGATACAGAGAAAGGGGGAAAGGGTGGCACGGGGTTTGATCGAATAGCGCCGCTGCCGGACTTCGAGACCGCCAGCGTGAGAGCAGCATTGGCTGGTCTCGAGGACCCTCTGCGAAAGAAGACGAGGAAAGAGGGGAGACGCTTGGACTACGGCGATGAGGGCGTGGTCACGCCGTCGCTGCGAGCGCCGCCGCCAACTCCTGTGGTGCCGCCGAGCGTCTTTCAAAGCGCTAGTGAATACTTCACCGACACGTTGGCCGAAATAGCGCGGGAAACGGCAGCGTTGGGCGGTAAGAAGAGTGGCCATGACGAGGTCGTCGACTCAGCGGAAATGGAGAAGCAGCGAGGACTTCGAGAGGGATTAATGTGGAGGGGAACAAATGGCATCCCTGCCCATCCCACGAAGTTGGTCATCCCAATGAACGACACGGAACTGGAGACGTCAAAGAAAACTGAGCGGAGGGGATTTGCCGCCGCAAGTGAAAAGATAAAGACGTCGGTTATGGCGGAGCGAAGGGAGGGCAAGGTCGTCAGCGGTGAAGAAGGTGAAGTCCCCGAATGCTCGAGGGAGAAGCAGCTGGCCGATGTGGAAGGACGGGAAAGAGTGACCGAAGAACGGACTTCTCCAAGTAAAAAGGCGCCAAAGAAAAGGCGGGGGTTTGGCAGAATTGCCGCCATTGTCATAGCAATTGCCGCCGTTGCGCTCTTTGCTGCTTCTCGAGCACGGCGAAGATGATAGCGTAGGAGAGACGTGCGCCGATGTACGATGTAGTGTAGTTACCGCGGCCGAATATAAGTAAGAGGACGTTCGCACGACGGCGATAGCGTAGGAGAGATGTGCGCCGATGTACGATGTAGTGTAGTTACCGCGGCCGAACATAAGTAAGAGGACGTTCGCACGACGGCGCTTTCCTGGACGTATCTAACCGGACGGAGTTACAGTCAGTCCTGGAACGTATCTGGCCGCAATTATGTCGAGTTACACAGTCAGTCCTGGAACGTATCTGGCCGCAATTATGTCGAGTTACACAGTCAGTCCGGGAACGTATCTGGCCGCAATTATGTCGCTTGGCCACACGCGAGAACTGACTTGTCAACCGACTACCGCCGGTAGCGGGACCTCACTCTCGGCGACATCCCGCCCACGCATCTGGGCGCGTGTTTGAAACGGCGACTGTGACTGTACGGCCCTCGCTGCGTCACTTGCGAAATGCGAGAAGTGGCGGGTGCGTTGCTCTAAATTTAGCGTTAAGGTATGGGCGCCATTTTTCACGTTCTTCGCCTGCCAAATGGTGCGGGGACTGTATATAGCACATGGTATGGCTCAGCGGAGCCGCGGCTCTGCCCAGTCAAACAGTCGACTGTGGGCATGCCTCTCATCATCTGATCCAGCACAGGAGTCGGTCGTCTTTCATTCTTCTTTCTTTCTTTCTTTTTTTTCTTTTTTTTTTATCTTTTTTTCTTTTCCTCTTTCTTCTTTTCGTTCGCGCTGCTTTTTTTTTTATCTTTTTTTCTTTTCCTCTTTCTTTTCGTTCGCGCTGCTTTTTCGTTCGTTTTGACATGGTGAAGCGCTTTTTTTTCTGTTTCTTTTTTCGGTTCTGCTTTTGCGTTGTAGGAATTGAGGGTCAGACAAGCCAGCGTAGAAGGTCCTGAGGACCGGGGGGACCGGGGGGACCGGGGGGGAGGGGGGGGGACCGGGGAGAGGTCCTGCTTGTATACTTGTAGTCTTCAATCTAAACCCTAGATAGCGAGGATGGACAGGCGGAAACAGAGAATCCGGGTAAGCAGGGCTCTGCCCCCAGTGAGTCGCATCCCGGGAAGGTAAGCACCACCCACCCCGCCCCCAGTCGCTCTGTTGCGGCAGGGGACAGGACTGCCACACTGCGGCGACTGGCAGGGGACAGGACTGCCACACTGCCAGCGGTTCCCGAACTCCCCCCCGTGCTACCTGAGCACAAATCTTGTCCTAGTTTTGCAGGCTGATAGCACGACCCGGCCCCCAGTCGCTCTGTCGTGGCAGGGGACAGGACTGCCACACTGCGAGCTGTTCCCAAACTTCCCCCTGTGCTACCTGAGCGCAAATCTGGTCTGAGTTTTGCAGGCTGATATCCTTAGCACCGGTCAGCAGCATCCGGCGTCTCCAGTTTCTGTTGCAGAACGACTCTTTGTGGTAGTTGTGATAAGCAACGACTTGACTGCATTTTACTGCAACACTAAGGGTCTTAGAGAGTTCCAGTCCTCTGGTCCTTGAATGAAGGGATGTTTGATAAGCNGGGATGTTTGATAAGCAACGACTTGACTGCATTTTACTGCAACACTAAGGGTCTTAGAGAGTTCCAGTCCTCTGGTCCTTGAATGAAGGGATGTTGAATGCCTGTGCTTATGGGATGGGACAGTTCTTGTCTTTAACCATTTGTTCATAACCGCTCCGTGCTTAACAGCTCTTGAGAAAGATTATAAGACCCCGCTTAGCGATGTGAGTTTAACTAAGTGGCAGCATAGCAAGCGATTCGCATTTTGTCCGAATTTCTGCATAGTACCCATTGAAGTAGCTTGGAAGCCAGAGTGAAACTAAATGAGTGACCTGTAGAAAGACCTGTAATTGTGGTTGTAGACTTGTAGTCTGCATCAGCAGTGAAGTAGCCCAACTAATTGACAGCGACTCACATAGCGAGTGAGCAACGCTTCGAGCACATCTCTGCATATGCATTTAACTAACTCAGAAGCCAGAGTGAAACTAAGTGAGTGACCTTTAGAAAGACCTCAGCTGTTATTGAGGTTGCACTAGAACTGTATGTCTGCATCAGCATTGAAGTAGAGGGCTGAAAATATGGCTCGCTAAGACATGGCTGAGACTAGCTTGTCTTTTGCCTTCATTTTTCGTTTCTCATTTTTCGTTTCTGTTTTTTTTTTTTATCGAACTGACAGACGAGAGAGCAGAACCAAGTGACTGACCTGTAGAAAGAGATGCAGTTGAGGTTGAATTAGAATAGTCGTAGGGGAATTGTTTGTTTCTAGAAAGAGCATGCATCCATATTGAAGCCGAGAACTGGAAATGTGACTCTTCAGACTCCGGCTCGCTTTCTACCTTTTTTTTCCCCTCTTTTGCATTGAAGTATCCGAGAAGAAAACCTCTGGAAGGACCTGTAGTTGAGGTTGTATGAGACTTGTACGTACATCTACATACGCATTGAAGGAGCTGCAAATATGAGACTAAAGCATCAATCTTCTTCTTTTCACGTTCTTTTTTCTTGTGTGTGTGGCCCGCTGTGGGAGTCACGGATGTTTTGTGGGTGTTGGGGGGAGCCCAGGGAGGTAAGCGAAATGCTCTGCAGCTCTGCCGGTTTGTGGATATACAACTCCGTTGATTGCTGCGCGTTGGCGAATGCAATCACGTCCGTCTATTCTTGTCACTCTGTTTCTGCTAAAAAGGATGAAAAGCTATCAGCAATGACTTCCCGGCAGGCTTTGGGTCAGATAAAGGCATGTGTGGCACTGCAGCAGTCTTATTTGTAATATACTTTAGCACTTATTTGTCCGTTTAAAACTTCAGAAGAGAAAAGCTATTGCAGTGACATCAATTAATTTAACAGAAGCTACAGTGCAGTTATGATCGATTCAGAAGAGAAAAGCTATTGCAGTGACCCCAATTAATTTAACAGAAGCTACAATGCAATTATGATCGATGTGACTCAATTAAGCGACAAATGACAATGCCAAAGCTCCTATGATGAATGATCCGCGACGCGCAATGAAATTGAATGAATAACTTCGCAGGGTTTACTAGTTTATTCAACAACATGAGTGTCAAAATGTCCTCCTGCCACAACCTTCACTTCTCCACCAGAATTGAATGTTCACTCCTCCAGACTCCGGAGTTCACTCCTCCAGTGTCACTTCAGGCTTCAGCGCAGTGAATCCCTGGCCCCTGGCTATGGTGAGCTGTGTGCTCTCCGCTCTCAATGCTCTACCTCTCCATAACTCAGTCCAAATATACTCTCTCTCCCCCCCAGACTTCCACGAGGGCCAGCGCTAGTATGAAAAGGAGTCTTGAATGAAGACTGAGGGCCATCTGAAGACCATGGACACCTGGAAGTCTTCTTCAGCAATGTGGTTACGACTACCAGTCGCCAGGTCAGCTTCCTGCACTCTCAGACCTTTCCTCTCTCTCATGTGTCTCTGTTACTCTCTAAGTGTTTTCTCCTTCTGTGAATCTGCTTCAATTCCTTGTAGATATGTCCTTCTTGGTCACTACTAAAGTGGAATACTATCTATGGCCGCCAACTCAGGCAGTCACTTCACTCTCAGTGACAGCAGCAGGGCAGCATGAGGGCAGCATGGCGCGCTACTCCAGCAGTTGGCAAGAGTGCAGGTAGGAGGAGGTTGAATGTGTCACCAGTAGACAACAGAGGTATATTCCTTTAACCTGGGATGTGGACGCCGTGATGAGTGGGCCTCAGGCTGCGCTGACCCAGTATGTACTGGAGTCTTTTCTGAAAACTTTGTCTGGCCATTTCAATATGTGTGTGTGTGTGATCTGAGGCCAAAACTTCCTTTCTGTAGGATTTGACTCTTCAATTTCTCTTCCTTTCTGTTTTCTTTCCAAGGGAGAAAGCCGCTAACATTATTGCATATAGGAGGATTTGAACTCTTGATTTGTGTAGACCACATTGACCAATAGGCAGGCAGCCTAGGTTCCAAAGCTCAACTTGTTTGGTCAATACTCAGGCGGCCTGGGTACCTTTTACTTGAAGTTCTGGGGTCGGACAGGGCCCTGCTTGTTGACTTTGTCAGGCCTGTGCCTGAGTCCCATGCCTCAGGGAGCCTGGTAGGTCCACTTGAATCCGGTTCAAGTGGTCTGAGACCTTTCACCAGATGCACCTTCCGCCATTGTTCACAATCCGTCAAACCGGGGATCTATTGAGTCTGAAAGAATACAATGCGCAGTTTGTCGCGAGATTTAGGCCCAGGCCTGCTTCCCCCACACCATTGTTCCAGCCGTGCAGGTTTGTGACACGGTTGAGAAGAAACAGCTCAAGAAATCAAATCCAGGTGAGGAATGTGTGCCTCCC